ATATGAATGTATGTGCCTGGGAGGTCTCAGCTGGAGAGTCCACAGAGCTTTCAAACACAAGAGTTACCACAGTTTCTGAAGCTGACTGTGTCAGCTGGGTTGTGTTCTGGGTTGACTGCAGGAACAATTTCCAGAAATAGTGGGCCAAACCTTCCCCATTTAATTTCCTTAGAAATGTGGCAGGATTCCTGGAAAAAGAGCAGTCACTCTCTCATGTGGAGTTGCAATACTCTGATGGACTTTGGGCCCACAAATAGAAAACATTTTCATCCTCACAACTAGCCATTGACATGTAGTACATTATATTTTAAAGAGACTCTACATATTTCAGGCAGCATTGCACTCCTGCACAGCCAAAACTCATTTTCAGTAACATTCTGACACATATTATATAGACAAAATGCTCCTTAGTTTAAATATTTCTAGCACCAAGTTTAGTCAAAATGCTAGGCATATCTTTGAAATATTTCAAAACAAGCAGGAAAGTTCACAGAAGAAAAAAAAAACAAACTGCAGAATGTTATAATATTTAGGCATCAGGCATACTGCTGCTAACTATACATTTTTTGATGCAAAGCAGACTTGAATGAGAAAATATTGCCAATATTGCTCATCTTAACATCATCTTCTCAAAAACAGTATACAATGGAGAAGCATTAAAGTTTCTTTTGTACATGTAGGGGAAGCCCTAAAACACTAACAGGTTTGCAAAATAAAAGGTCATGTCATGTATCAGTAGCAGATTTAACAACAAAGCACAGGTCTCCTGATAACCATTTCTATGGAACTTAAAAAAAAAAAAAAAAAAAAAAAAAAAAGCATTTGGTTAGAGATAAGATCAAGTAATTCTTAGCTGGTGTAAATGAGTATCTTTGAACCGAGCAGAACCAGTTTGTCCAGTGTGTCTCTCATTTGGACTATACTGGTTTTGAGGGCAGGACTGGAAGAATGACACCCAAGTTGACACTTCCAGCTAAGGATCTGACCCAACATATGCATTTAAGTACTAAAGAAACAGAGTCAGAGGAGAAGGAAATAGTCAGTACAAATGCTATGGTACTATGGACTGCTAGGAGAAGCACACTATTGTGATATAAGGACTCATAATTTGTGTAAAGAAGGTGGCTGATGTTAATAAAGAAGGGGGAGATGTGGGAGTGTGGCCATGGGGGTCGACAAGCCCCATGGTTGGTGATAACATCAATCTCTTAACGATGAGGCCATCAGGAATGTAAAGAGCTTAGAGGGAACAAAAAAGGGTGATTCAGGAGATGCTATGCCATCTCTGGGTGCTTGTTCTCTAGCAGTTAAGGCATGGGAGTTGCTGGGTGTTTGCTGTTGCTGGGCAAGGTTTTTTGACCAATGAAAAGTTGTTTTTGAAAAGGACTGCTGTGGGGCAAAGGGTATGTTATATATGGAGTGGTAATTAGTGTCCAGAAAATGGTTGATATTAATAAAGAAGGGGGAGATGTGGGAGTGTGGCCATGGGAGTTTGAAAGCCCCGTGGTTGAGATAACATCAGACTCTTAACGATGAGGCCATCAGGAATATAAAAGAGTTTAGAGGGAACAAAGAAAGGTGATTCAGGAGTTTCCATGCAGCCTGGGGTTTCTTGTTCTCCAGCCATTAAGGCATGGAAGTTTCTGGGTGTTTGCTGCTGTTGTTACATTCAAAGTTGTTTGACCAATGAAAAGTTGTTTTGAAAAGAACTGCTATGGAGAGAAGGGTATAAGAGGGGAGCCTGCCCTCAAGATAAAAAAGGCAACGCGACCTGATGAAGTTATGTCATCAATAAAGAAGCAGGAAAAAGGAGTTAAGAGGAACAGGCTGGCAGAATGGAGACCAGGACGGGAACAGGCACTTTGATTGCCTCATGAAGATAGGTTCGGCCAAACTCAGCAAACTGCTCAGAGAGGCTCGTGCTGAAAGTCTCTGGAAGCAGGCGCACTGGAGCTGGAAAGAAGCTCAAGCTGAGAGAAGCGGACCCGCGCGCACAACTGCCCCTCGCTGGTAAGCAGTTGCGCATTATGGGGAATCATATGTCCTTAGGAGCAAAGACTGTCCTGGTAACCTTACAGCTTATGCTCCTTATTAACAATCAGACAGTTTATGATCCTGGTACATGGGACCAAACTGAGGTCAAGGTGTGGGACTGCAACTAAAAACGACAAGGTTGCAGTGAGATTGCTCGGGGCCTAGCAAGCAATCTCTGAGGCCTTAAAGAGCCCTGTGGGGCCACAATCAGAAACGTGTGGCTTGCCAGATAGTGAGGGCGCTGCGGCCTCCTTTACTGATCCGACTGCTACGCCATGGGCCCCTCTGCTGCTACAGCCATCGAAGGCTTTTGCTGTTCCGCCCCCTGTTGACCTGAATGTGCCATTTGACCCAGGCCTCATTGTCCTTGAAAAAGAAATGGATATGCTTTTTTTCGATCTGGGAAGAACGGGATACATAAGGCCCAAAGACCAAGTTGCTTGACAAGGCAAGACATATTGTTCAAAAGGAATGGAAAATGGAGACTTGTTTGTAGTCAAGAAAAGGAATGGAAAATGGAGACTGTTAAGTCACGGAACTTAGAGGATTGTTTTTTACCTTTTCTGATCGTACATATGTATAGGTGTACTCGAGTTTAGTAAGTCATGGATTTTAAAGGATTGTTACCTTTCCTGATTGTACGTATGTATAGGCATACTCGCGATTAGTATGTAAAAGCGATGTTCTATATATTTAGAATGTTTGATGTTTGTGTGTGCATGTTGGTGGAGCGTAGACTCCCCGCACACGCAGCGCTGTTTACTTACCTTTTATACCTTTTATACTTTTTAGACCTTTTATTAGTATAAATATTACTAAATTCAGATTGAGTTGAAACTTCATTTATAACAGGTATAAGAGGAGAACCTGTATATAATGCATAAATATAGAAAGAAGGAATGAATAGGGACAGGCTGGCAGAACAGAGACCAGGATGGGAACAGGCACATTGATTGCCTCATGAAGATATGTTCAGCCAAACTCAGCAAACCGCTCAAAGAAGCTCGTACAGAAAGTCGCTGGAAATGGGCACACCGGAGCTGGGAAGAAGCTCAAGTTGAGAGAAGCGGACCTGTGCACACAACTGCCCCTCGCCGGTAAGCAGTTGCGCATTATGGGGAATCATATGTCCTTAGGAACAAAGACTGTCCTGGTAACCTTACAGCTTATTCTCCTTGTTAACAATCGGACAGTTTATGATCCGGAAATATGGGACCAAATTGAGGTCAAGGTGTGGGACTGCTACTAAAAACGACAAGGTTGTGGCGGGATTGCTTGGTAGCTGGAGAGCAATCTCTGAGGCCTTAGAGAGCCCTGTGGGGCCACAGTCAGAAACGTATGGTTTGCCAGACAGTAAGGGAGCTGCGGGTTTGTCCACTGATCCTTCTGCTGCTACTGCTGTCGCAGGCCCCTCTGCTGTTCCGCCCCCTGGTCATCTGGACATGCCTTTTGACCCAGGCCCTATTGGCCTTGAAAAGGAGATGGAAATGTTTCCCTTCGATCCAGGAAGAAGAGGATACATAAGGCCCGAAGGCTGAGTTGCTTAACAACCTAAAGCAAGACATATTGTTCCCACGACTAGCCCTGGAATTCTCTGCTGTTTGTAATCAAGAAAATTAATTGAAAATGGTGTACACCAGAAGGCTGTGCTGCCATTCAGCAAGACCTGGACAGGATAGAGAGAGGGGTACGAAAAAAACAAATGAGGTTTAACAAGAGCAAGTGTAGAGTCCTGCACCTGGGAAGGAACAACCACATGTGTCAGTACAGGCTGGGGGATGACCTGCTGGAGAGGAGCTCTAAGGAGAAGGACCTGAGGGTCCTGGTGGACGACAGGTTGACCATGAGCCAACACTGTGCACTCATGGCCAAGAGGGCTAATGGGATCCTGGTGTGCATTAAAAGAGCGTGGCCAGCAGGTCAAGGGAGACGATCCTCCCCCTCTACTCTGCCCTGGTCAGGCCTCACCTGGAGTACTGTGTACAGTTCTGGGCTCCCCAGTACAAAAAAGACAGGGATCTCCTGGAAAGAGTCCAGTGGAGGGCCACAAAGATGATATGGGGCCTGGAGCATCTTCCCTGTGAGGAAGGGCTGAGAGACCTGGGTCTGTTCAGCCTGGAGAGAAGAAGACTGAGAGGGGATCTCATCAATGTGTGTAAATACCTGAGGTGTGGGAGACAGAGGGATTTGGCCAACCTTTTTTCAGTGGTTTGCAGGGACAGGACAAGAAGTAATGGTCACAAGATAGAGCACAGGAAGTTCCACACCAACACGCGAAAGAATTTCTTCACGGTGAGGGTGATGGAGCACTGGAACAGGCTGCCCAGGGAGGTTGTGAAGTCTCCTTCTCTGGAGATATTTAAGGCCTGTCTGGATGTCTACCTGGGCAGCCTGCTCTGAGGAACGTGCTTTGGCAGGGGGGTTTGACCCGATGATCTTTCGAGGTCCCTTCCAACCCCTTCAATTCTGTGATCCTGTGACTTTAAGTCATGGAAGATATGGGAGCACTTCAACGAGGATTACCAACTCCAACTACGCCCCCCCAAGACATGGACATTAATACTTATAGAAGTAAAGGATTGTTTGTTAAACACTTGCCTTTTAAAACTTTGTCATGTTTATGTTTCTATTGATACATTTTCTGATTGTACATTGTCCTGGTTTCAGTTAGAACAATGTTAATTTTCCTCCTAGTAGCTGGTAGGGTGCTATGTTTTGGATTAGGATGAGAAGAGTGCTGATAACACCCCGATGTTTTAATTGTTGCAGAGCAGTGCTTATACTAAGCCAAGGACGTCTCAGTTTCTTGCTCTGTCCTGCCAACAGGCAGGCTGGGCATGCAGCAAAAGCTGGGAGGGGACAGACCCAGGACAGGTGACCCAAACTAGCCAAAGGGGTATTCCATACCATCTGACGTCATGCTAAACAATATATAGGGGTAGCCAGCCGGGGGAGGGGGCCGGACTGCTCGGGGTTAGGCTGGGCATCGGTCAGCGGGTGGTGAGCTATTGCATTGTGCATCACTTGTTTGTACACATTATTATTAGTAGTACTATTATCATCATTGTTATTGTTATTATTATTATTTTCCTGTCTTACTAAACTGTCTTTATCTCAACTCACAGGCTTCACTTTCCCATTTCTCTCCCCCATCCCAGAGAGAGAGGGGGGAGGGTGAGCGAACAGCTGTGGCTGTGTGGTGTTTAGCTGCCGGCTGGGTTAAACCACAACATACATATGTATAGGTGTACTTGGGTTTAATATGTAAAAGCAATGTTCTGTATATTTAGAAAGTTCAACGTTAGTGTGTACGTGTTGGTAGAGCGTAGACTCTCTGTGCACTCAGCACTGTTTACTCACCTTTTATAAATATTAATAAATTCAGATTGAGTTGTATCTTCATTTATAACACTACTGAATTTGAGATGAACACAGCATCACTCTCATATTAACCAGGGTCACTGCAAAGAACGAGCCTTACAACCTTTAGACTTTAGTGTCAGATATTGTCTCTGCCACTTGTTCTTATTTTATTTATACCTTGACTTTTATTTTTATTTTATCCTACATCTCACTCTCTTTTGAAGTCTTTGTTACTATGGAAACAATTACAGTATGGCAGTACACACAGCCTAGTGATGCCTCACAGTGAAAAAGAATTAACAAGAGTGTTGGGCAAAAAAGACCAATTTAAAATCATAAAGCTATAAGACAGCCTGTCAAATCCCCTTTAGCTCCCTAATTCCCTGCTGATGAAGTCAGAAGGGTTAGTTTATGCAGTTTAAATAAGTGGTTTTGCCTGAAGTGAGTTTGAGGAGACCTCACACACACACTTAACTGTGGTAGAAAACAGGCTTGTGCCACCTCAGCACAACTGGAAATGACCAGCAGCTAGGCATGACACAGAGCCTTCTGCTGGAAAAGAACCTTCACAGACTTAGATGCCTGCTATAATATATGCGCTGTACTGAAGAATTAAATTTGACCTGAACTGTTCTTTGGGATTCACAGCAACAAGCACAGGTCACGCTATAAAATTTCTGTAACCTTCAGAATGATGCAGGTCCATCCAGACTGCTTTTTAAGGATGCATTCTGGACTCTGTGACCTAAACTATGCACAGCACGTTTCTGGAGAAAAACAGAAAAAAGACACAGGATGAAACGAAAGTAGGGCCATTCTAACAGTTCAGCTAAAGAGGAACTGTGGAAGAGCACACTGGCTTGGTGGTGTTTTGTTTTGCTTTTCAGTATAGGCATACACTACAACTATCCTGAAGAGAAAAGAGGCTCAAGGAGCACATTTAAGAACAAGCCCCTAATTATCTGCAGTGCTTAACTGCTAGCATACTCACCAGCTCTGTCCCTGATCTGCTCCAGCCACCTCCCTCCTAATCCACTGCAAAACGAGCTAGGCTTAAGTTCTGCAGACATGTTCCTATCAATTCATGCAATTTTATAGATAGGGCCCTCTTTTACAGATCTGTGGCCCTCTTTCCTTCAGTGTAGTAGATATAGCCATGCCTCTCATATCACAGGAGCTATCAGAAAAAACATGTATACAAGCTCTTCCCCACTGCACACAAAGCCAGCTGCTTTGATCCTGAAAAACAAAAAGTATTGAAAAACCTGGCCAGAAACACAATCCCATTTCCTAAATGAGCCTGAGGTGTACCCTAGGGACCCACGGGTTAAATAGAAAATCAGGAAGGTATTTGGAAGAGAAGCTGGTCTTACCCAGTAGTAGTGAGATCCCACTGCAGCTATGGAAAGCAACGGGTTAAGTTCAATGGATGAAACCCTGGATTAATATTGCAGTACATCTACTATATATATATTTTTACTTCAATTAGAAGATATTATCGGATGCTAGATGGCTATCATATCAGATTCTTTTAAGAACAGAAAAGAGAGCATACAATCCCTGTAAGTTGATTATTTCAGAGAGTTGGTTTTTTTTTTTAGATGTCTGCATGTTTGTCTTTTTTATTTGTAATAGAGGTAACAATGTTTAGGAAGACTAACATACTAAATTCTGATTTCCTTCCATCCTGGTATTTTTTCTCCAGTATAATTTCTCACTGTCCAGCACTACAGAGTTGTGTCAGATGCCTTTCTGCACAGAAAGGCTTTCTTACTGCATTTCAAAACTGTCTGTTCAAGGGCAATGGATCATAAAGTATATTTATTACCTTCCACTGTATATACCACTTTTCTTTAAGTTCTTCTTCACTATTATTAATTTCTAGTCAGGAAAAAATCCCCTGAGCTTTCCAGCAATACTAATACACTGAATCTTATTAACTAGTGATACTTTTTCTCCCAGGAAAAGAACTGATTTATTAAATCCCCTTTGACTTCACTGTGAATTTGGAATGAACAAGAAATATAGATATGAGCATGAAACGCTAGTAAAATCTGGAACACCGCAGAAGTCATTCATTTGACTTGAAAATCTAAGTGAAATTCTCCATCAGCGTGTAGAAATTGTTGGTTTAGTTAATTATATTTGTTGCTTGACTATCCAAAGACGGAAATCATACCTGGACAGCGGTCAGGAACAATTCCAGGATGCCTCTCAAAAATAAAAACTTGCACTAAAGGAGACAGGTGCTCTTCAAATAACTCTTCTTTTGCAGTAAGAGAGGGAGGAACAACTCCGTAAAGAAAGGTGAAGGAATCCCAGCTTGAGATACAAGATGAACTCTGTCCTTCTCATAAGGATCCAATCATACTGGTCTACAGAAGCTGTGTTTTATCATCCTCCATCACAGCCCCTGGGGATTTATTGCCACACACGTATCAACTGGAGAGCCATATATGCTTTCCTCCTTGAACAGCCAAAGCAACAAACACTTGCTTTGAAAACAGCTGTACTAGAGACAAATCCTTCGGGCAGGGAGGCGCGGATATCAGTGGCAGTATTTTAAAGAGAAGTGAAGGTATATACCAAAGCAGTAAGTGATATTGCAGACTGTGTACAACTTGTGTGACTTTTCAGTACACTTTCTCTGAAGTTATGAAAGTTATGAAATGTGTTCAATGAACTTTATACATATGAAACAAGTTTCTGCTTGAAAACATTTATTTTGTCTGAAAAGTGATGCTCATTTTTTTTAAGTAACACTGCATATAGGATAAGTCCTCTAGTGACATCTCTATGAACTATAGTATGTGTGTGGAGGGCAATTTTAGCTAACTAGAAGCTAGAAACCTAAGCTAAATTGAGGTGAATCTCACTTAAGAGGACTGTTTCAGAAGACACCACAGATTTGAGGTTCAATTTTAAAATAAACATACAAAATGGAGATAGGACAAGAACTTCATTACTGTCAGCAATAAGAAGACTTCAGATTTCTTTAAGCTTCAAGGAAAAGTTTTAAAATAAAAACAAACCAACAATAACAACCACAAAACTTCTAATTGAATAACAAACTGATTTAAAAGGTAAGATATTGCAGTGTAAAAATAAATAGAAACCTCATTCCAGCCTTCTTACTAAATTATGTTTTCTGGACACATACGTTAACATGAACAATTTTGACATCAAACAGCAAGTAAAACCTAGAAAACAATGCCAGAAGGTCCTTAAGGGAACAACTAATCTACCTCTTGCTTCAGAAGAGGACTGTCCTGTCCTGTCTTAAACCTAGGTCACACTTTAAGACACTGGCTCTGCTTTTAACACCTTTGGTATTGAAATTCCCATAGAATCCTTAGGCAAGTTATCCCCATGCTTTATATTATCATGACTGCTAGAAATATTTTCATACTGTTAAATCTGAATCTTTCTTACTGAAATTTACTTGTCATCTTAATACTGTATTCTCTTTTGCAACACCCTTGTACGTGTTTAAGGAGTGTTGTCGTTTTTCTTTAATCACTCGTGGAAGAAGCAATCCTAGTTCTGTCAATCAGTTCTTGATTGTCAGGCTAGGAAACAGAGCTCTCTTCTTGGAACTCTGCAGTATATGCTGCAGTTTGCTGCAAATGCATGCTCTCCCAATTAAGGGAATTTCATCTGAACCAAATTGCTATTCAAATAACCTATTAAGATTATGTTGTACTATCAACTCTCAAGTATTCACTACTGATTAAAGTGATCTTTTCCATGAAGAGGAATAGAAATACAGAGTTCTTCAAAGTCAATAAAACAATAACAGTCCTCATTCATCTCTTATTTTTGCTGGCTTGAAATTCCAGTATCATAGAAATTTCACAGAAGAAAAGAGCTCAGCATGATCGTATAGAGACACAACAAAAGGATGAAGAAGGCTTACAGGATGTCACAGACAATTTGTTAACTAGATATAAACATTCGGCAACTCTTTTTGAAAATTTTTTTGAAAATTTTGAAAATTTTTACCATTCTGTGAAACAGCAGTGTTATTACACGTCTGCAGTGGTCTACTGAATTATGCAAACAAATTGTGACAACAGCTGTTTGAAAGCCAGAGGGAAGTGATTTTCAGATTTAATTCTTAATAAAGAAAAACATTTGAAGCAATGCTGTCACCTCTGCTAACTTGATTCATACCACCTATGAGCAAGAGGAAAACTAACTGTAGCTTAAATGTAATTACATCTAGTATAAACAAAAGAAAAAGACTAAATTAGTTGTTAGATGCAGAGATATGAGAAGAAAAAAAAGTCACTTATTTAGTTCTTTTGAAGTAGGAAAGCAATTAGTGCAGCACGGGCTTTAAAGTCAGAAGAAGAAAAAGAAGGGACACATCATAGTAAAGGAAAGAAAGATTTCGCAAGTCATACAAGTTTATAACATCAGTTGAGTCTAAGAAATTGGAAAAAAAACAAAATCCACAAATAAAGTCTGGTAGAAAAAGAAGTACTTGCAGTTACGAGTGATTCACCTTTTGCTAAAGAATCAAATCATAGAAGCTGTAAAGAATTCAATAGTGTTAAATATTTTAAATAAATTTAGTAGCAATGAGTCTGATTTCCCTTGAGAAAGCAAGCAATAGGAGAAAGTATATCTGATTTCCCTGGGATCATTAATAAGCTGTCCAAGTTAAATTTGTTTATCTTCTAATGAATCACCGCATTTCCAAAATTAATTAAAGCAATTAATATGTGTAACAGCCATATTTGACTGTAAAAATAAGGAATACATAGATCCAACAAAAAACTCACTGCAGGATATAAAATTCCATATACACTAGTTGCATCTTCACTGAATCTAGAATATGTTTCAGTTTTCTGTCTGGAAGACAAATGCTTTCCTCTCTTTCTCTCCTGGAAGATCCACTGAGATTTCAGAAACTGTTCTGTTTCATATGTCACCTATTGAGGGATCAAGTTTAGGCCTTGCTTTAGAAAGCTGTCTTCTTCCCCTAAACTAAGACAACCTGTTAAGTACATCAATTACACTGACATGTCCTCAGGAAAAAAAAAAAAGAAAAAAAAAGTTTTCAGCATCTATAAATGAAGAACACAAATTTTATTTTTCTGAAAAGTCCTCGTCAACAGTCTCAAGTGGAGACTTACGGCCCCAGTTCTATACCTGCCATCTCTCAGATGTACCATTCTGAAGTCCTGTAGAGGTCCACTTACTTAAATGTAGGATAAAGATCACAGTCAATGAGAACAGAGAATAAGCTTTGTGAAAAAAAACAGAAAGTTAAACATTTCAACTAGACTCTTATTGCTTTGTAAAGCTTTGCATTTGCAACAATAAAGGTTGTTTTTCCTTGAGTTTGACCAGAAACATGAATGACTGTCAAAGAACACCAGATAAGCTGGTTGGAGGGGACCTCTGGAGTCCAGCCACCTGCTTTAAGTGGGCTGACTGCCAACACCTGACCAGGTCAGCTGTGGCTTTTCCTAACCAAGTCATGAAAGCCTGCAGGGATGGAGATTTCACCACATCCAACAGGTCCCTATGCTGTGCCAAATTCCTCGTAAAAAGCTTTTCCTAATACCAGTCTGGATTTGCCTTAATTTGCAGCTGTTGCCTTGGGCAACTGTATAGACAGTGTACTATGTTCCACTACTGTTGAGCTCTAGCTTTTTTTTTTTTTTCTTTTTACCTCCCCCTCCACAGTTGTGAATGCAATGAGACTGCCCCTAAGGTCCATCTTTGCCAGACTAAACCAGTCCAGCTCCCTCCCTCTCCCTATGTGCTGTTATCCTGGCAGCTCCTTGCTAGACCCATTCTAGTTTCACAGCAGCCATCCATAAATGGGGGGCCCCAAAACTGAACCCAGAAATCCACGAAGGCAAGGCTGTAAGACTTATCTTGGTCTGATAGCTGTGCTCCTCCTAAAATAGTCAAGCATACAGTCTGCCTTATTCATGATGAGAGCACAGTTCTGACTCCTGTTTAATCTGGTATCAACTGTAACACTTTGGTTTTCAGTAGAATTTTTAGCCCATTAATACTTTTTCCCCCAGCCCTCTAACAGCTATCATCCAGATGAAAAACAAACAAGCAAACACAAAACAAACCATCACTGAATTGCCAGAAATCAGATTACACCTAGTTTTCTATATAGAGTTAAAGCAACAAGAGGATAAAGTATGTTAAACCTCTGGTATGTTGTGGAATAAAGACCACACATAAAACAGGGTTCTTTTAGGATCACTAACTGCTACTTCTTCATTGATGACATAACTTCAACTCTTGCTTACTGGGGGCATAACTTCTCTCACACTGACGGCACAACTTCATTATCCATTCCCGTGGACAGGCTCCCTTCTTATACCATTCACCACCCAGCAGTACTTTTCCACTCACTATTCACTGGTCAACAATTTTGCCTGAGAACAGCAAACACCCTGCAACTTCCATGCCTTAACTGCTGGAGAACAAGCAGTCTGAGACAGCATGGTGTCCACTGAATCACCCTTTTTTGTTCCCTCTAAACTCTTAGTGATTCATTCCTGATGGCCTTAACATTAAGAACCCGATGTTATCACCAACCATGGGGCTTGTGGACTACCCGGCAAACCCCACGTTTCTGACTGTGGCCCCACAGGGCTCTCTAAGGCCTCAGAGACTGCTTGCTAGGCGCTGAGCAATCCCACTTGTCATTTTTAGTTGCAGTCCCACACCTTGACCTCAGTTTGGTCCCATATTTCCGGATCATAAACTGTCTGATTGTTAATAAGGAGAATAAGCTGTAAGGTTACCAGGACAGTCTTTGTTCCTAAGGACATATGATTCCCCATAATGCGCAACTGCTTACCAGCGAGGGGCAGTTGTGTGCACAGGTCCGCTTCTCTCAGCTTGAGCTTCTTCCCAGCTCCAGTGTGCCTATTTCCAGCGACTTTCTGTACGAGCTTCTTTGAGCGGTTTGCTGAGTTTGGCTGAACATATCTTCATGAGGCAATCAATGTGCCTGTTCCCATCCTGGTCTCTGTTCTGCCAGCCTGTCCCTATTCATTCCTTCTTTCTTTATTGATGCATTATATACAGGTCCCCCTCTTACACCCTTTGCCCCACAGCAGTCCTTTTCAAAAACAACTTTTCATTGGTCAAAAAACCTTGCCCAGCAACAGCAAACACCCAGCAACTCCCATGCCTTAACTGCTAGAGAACAAGCACCCAGAGATGGCATAGCATCTCCTGAATCACCCTTTTTTGTTCCCTCTAAGCTCTTTACATTCCTGATGGCCTCATCGTTAAGAGATTGATGTTATCACCAACCATGGGGCTTGTCGACCCCCATGGCCACACTCCCACATCTCCCCCTTCTTTATTAACATCAGCCACCTTCTTGACATAATTTATTACTCCATATATCACAATAAAATGTTGAAATATTGTTTGAAATGTATTAATTGCAAGAAAGAGTATACAGGTTGAAACCCCACAGATGAACCTTTCCCTTATTCCCACCTTTCTCTTTAAAGTAGCCCACATAGGTCCAGGCACTCATCCTACCCATTAGTTGCTTTCCAATGTTACTTAGAGAGAATCCTGGTTAACTGTCCCACAAGGCATTAAAATGGAGAAAAAAAAATCTTTATAAACCTACTATCTCTGTTAAAACGTAATTGCATATTTTAAGGGGAAAAAGTTTCAGATAATCATCTGCCTTTTTTTCTGCCTGTAGAGACAATGTAAAATTTCTGATTTATTTACATTGTGTGTCAGAAACCGAGCTTTCCAAATAAAAAAAACTGTGGATAACTAGCAGTATTGTTACCTAATAAGTAACAGTAGGATCAATGAACCTTTACTGATAAAAATCAGCTAACACCTGTATAAGGAATAATGCTTTTAAAAATGCAGTTGGATACATATGTCTCAAATGCTTAGATGTTCCAAGTGGCTATAATTTACGTCATACATTCTTCCAGGGTGAAACTAATAACATTTGTTTAACTATTTTGGTTAAAAATCAAACCAAAATACTTGTGCAAGAAGAAATACACTTTAAATGGGAAAGCAACCAATGTTGCTTGTCTTGCAAAGAAAACTAACTTTTAACTTTGTAAATAGCTTTGAATTTTCTTGTCCATCAGGACTAATGAGAAATGAAGAATGTATTAATATTCACTTTAGAACATTCAACAAGTTAGTGGAACTGGACAGGTCTGAAAACATAGGGGGCAACTTTACTTCTCTTTGGCATAACGGAATTATCAGAAGGTGAACAAAAAATACTAGAACCTGGAATGGATGTCCACGTTTGTTTTCCTGACACTGGAAGTCTCACATATAATTAGACAGGTAATAAAAGTATGTAGTAAAGAGCACCACAGTGACTTGTTTAACATTTAAATTTGAGAATACATTTTATAGGTCTGGCAAGCGGTACTAAGTACTTCTTTTTGTCTAAGAGTTGTTAAGGAAATATCAATGCTTGTTAACAGTGTGATCTATTATCAACTGTTGAACATTCAGCTATTCAGAAAGGATTCCTAACATCTGCCACACAGCCTATGTCTCGGTGCTTGAAAAAGGACACAGTAAGCAATGCATCAAGCTAATACACATCCTAAAGTTATCCCCAGGTTGTACTAAAGGCCACAAGATAAAGCTTCTATTAAGGTTAGATTCTCTAACTTCTGGGGGGAGACAGTGCCAGGAACTGCGTAACATTGGTTGAAGAAGAAGCTATCTGTAAAAGAACACATGATATATAGCTCAACACAAGCTCAGAAACAGACAAGTAGCTTGTATGCAGGCATGGAAATATAACTAAAACCTTAAGTAATTTCTGAGGCTTTACTCCTGACCTGGATAGATGAAGTTGGAGTGAACAGCAGTGTTCATCATTTCTATATTTCATATTTCAGTGTATCCTTGAGCAAGACATACTGCCCCCATTTCCAGCCAAAGAAAGCAACCACAACATCGCACAGACCGCATTCCTCCCCTTGCCCTGCCTCATCGAAGTCTGGTGTGCTAGTGGGGCTATTTTATATACACACAATCAACAAATTAAGATTCAATTTTGATTGCAGAAAAGATAGTCCTACATAATCGTAAAACTCAGTATTTTACTTCCTTCCAACAATTAACTGGTTAATGAATAGAGATGCTTGAACTGAAAACAAAAATTAGCATATGTCAAGACAAAGAAATTACTAAAGCAAAATATTTCATTTTAATCTAATGACAGTACCTTCCTGGGTGGTAGTAGGAAGCAACAGAAAGTTGGCTTTCCAATAAATAAAAAGCTCAGGAAGGAATTTAATGGAAGAGAGGGCCTAAATGAATATTACTCCATCAGAGCAGCTGAAGATTTGAAGACTAATGCTCTCAGCAAGGGATGCTAGAGCATTCCAGCTGTATGCAGAGAACTGATTGTTGTGAAGCATATTAACGCTATGCAGAGTTGAGTTGCTAGCACTGACAGGTGATGAGTCATTAATGAATTTCAGGTAAAAATAAAAGATAAAAGTATGAGTGATAGTGGGAAAAAAAGCAACTTTGAAGGCTCTTAAATAAAATTATAAAAAAAAAAACAGATGAACAATGCTTGAATCAGAGTAGATGTGTGAATGTGTATTTCAATTCCTCAAAAAATGGAAAAGAACACATCACAGGTCTAGTAGAAGATGAAGACAATTACAATAATAGACTGAGAAAGGACCAATTGTGTTATAAGGAGAAGTAGAAATCTCAAGAGCCATACGTACATTCATTTGCTAACCTTAGTCATGTTACCTGATACCTGCTAATCCAGTCTCAAATGATTCACTACACTTCAAACTCAGTTATTACAGCTGTCTATAAATAATAGTCTCTTAAATTCCAATAATTATGGACTTGATGTTGCAGTAAAATCCAATCTGGACAAAAGCTACTGTACATGACAAATGCTCAAAAAAATTACAAGAATAAAAGTTTATGGATTTTACCCACTAGAAAACAGTGAAATATTCAATTTAAGCAGACTAAAAGCAATCAGTTTTCAGTATTTCATCAAAAACTTGGACTATTTCAGAACAAAGGCATT